AACCCAGACAGTGTTCCTAGCAGCCCTCAGGGTTAAGATCCACAGCAACAAGTCCTTCCCTGCAGAGAAAGTCCCACCCACAGAGAGATGGATGGCCTTGCTTTTCAAGACTGTTTTTTGGGACAACCTGGTTTCTAGCAGGATGCTGAAGCCCAATTCACAGTCACACTTGCCCCTAGCCCCACAGGAGGACAAATGCAAACCTTCTGAAGCACTGAGGGGAGGAGGAGGCTGGGTGGGGAGAGGGTGCCTGCCTGGCAGCTGGCTGCTGTTGCTGCTGTTCCTGATGGTGCCGCTGCTGCTGCTGCTAGAGACCCGGGAGTGGTGATGGAGTGTTTTCATTAGTGCACCTCACATCTCCAACGTTGTGAGCACTTGGAGAACTGGCTCCCATCAATGTGGGGTTAGCAAGGCTGCAGGCTCTGGGAACTGAATAGTGATGATGAACTTTCCACAGCAACTCTACTGTCATTTCCCTCTTCGGAGGTGTGTGAGGGGTACAATTTGCTATTCAAAGTCTCTTTGGAAATGCTCCTGGTCTAGTGCTTTAGGGCATAGCATCTCCATTCTTTCCTGAACATTCAGTCCTATCCCAGTCCCCCATCCAAAAGAGAGTTTTCAAATCCAGAATTCAAGTGGAGCAGAGTTGTGTCCCCTGGAATCTCCATCTAACTCCTTCCTCCCAGGATTCACGCTCCCTTGGGGCATCACTTGCCAAAACAACAGGAGGGAGGGGTCACTACAGCTGTGCTCAGAAAGCATCAGGCAGGGACTGACAAAATACAGGTGAAGGCAGGAGCGAGGACCAAGGTAGCGAAGATGGAGAAAGAACTGAGGTAGCTTTGGAGATCAAGGGCATAACACCCCCACACACACAGGCAAGGCGGGACACAAAGACACCAACGTCACCATTCTTTCAGGGACCCAAGGCTCAATGTTTGCCTTCGTCACTTTCTCTGCAGTCTTAATCTCCCTACCAATACCCAGAGCTGCTGGCTTTGTCTGAAAAAAACGCTACCCAGCTCTAAAAAAGCTGTCACTAATGTCCCGATCTGAGCACTCTCAAAGACACCGCACACAGTGCCAAAGGAACGCGGTGCTCCTGGTAGAAGGCCGAGTGGGCAGCCGTGGGAGCGCCTCTGTGCAGCCAAGATCCCTGGGCGCTTGTCCAGATCCCAAGAACCTGTTCACCTCCCAGCCTTCCTTCTCTCAGGACTGCCCCACAGAGGTTAGTCACCCAGGATGCAGCCACAGGACTCGAGGAGGAAAGACACAGAGGACTGCACCAGGGGGAAACAGTGCCTGCAAGGGGACTTCTGAGGAGAGTGACCCTGGGGAAGCAGGAAGGAAGTGCTGAGAGCAAGAGGCTTCCTGGAGACAGAACAGTCCGGCTCTTCCTCTGCTCCTGGCTTCTGCATCTGTGGAGGTGGGAATGGGGGACAGTACTAGACAGGGAGAGTATCTCGTGCTCCCTTTTGCCCTGTTCTTTGCTGTGACTCAAGAGGCTCACGTGTTTCTGGGTTCTTAAGGATCATTCCGTTGACTTCCTCATTTTGTTCTCACAGACTCTGACCTGAAAGACGCAGGGCCTTGGCCGGGCCAAGGAACTTAGCCTTGCTGTATTCTGGACAATGACCCAGGGGTACAACCTGCTCCAGTGCTGTTGGTTCACTGAAGAGCCTTTTCTGGGCTGGCTCCCGTCCCATCTGAATTGGCTCTCTCGTTCTTTCCCTCATCAGAGAAGGGAGTGATCTATTTATGTGATGTTTTCAAAGCCTCCTGCACCATTCAGTTGTAACTTCCACCTGGCCAGGTGGTTTTCTCTGCCTTCCTCTTACTCTGTCCCCGGTGCCTATCACACACAGTAGGTACAGACTCTCTATTCTCAAAGACAGCCTATGAGAGAAGTATTGTACCCATTTTACATAAGAGAGAATGATGTTTCAACCATTTCAATAACAAATGGAGCAGCAAGGGTCAGCTTCATATCCTACTACATTTCTAACAAAAGAGCAACATGCTGATGAAAATCCCTTATGCTGAGGACCTTACTTTAGGCTGTTCTGGATGTGGTATTCTAGAACCAAATGCCCCAAGACCATCCTCTGAAAGAGTATGAGAGGGGTGGGCCCCTTTAGTACTGAAGGAAGCTCAGAGAAGGGTCCCCGGCAGGTATCCAGCCTAGCCAAGACTGGCACAAGTGTGGGCTCACAAGCACCACCAACCAGAGTGGGTGCTCGCTCTGAGATCTAGACAAGGAATATCAGGCAAAGGACCACAAGCAGGGAATTCTCAGTGAGTGACTAGGGAGGCAGAGGAAGGACAGGGATCTCTTCTAACAGGAATATGAAAAGGGACTACTCACCAGGACACAGTAGCCCAAAGCTAAGAGTCTAGAGAGAAAAACCTATGCCATGCATGCTATTTGTTTTTCTTTTAAGACAAAAGATATTAATGTATGAGTGTTTTTTTCTAAATTAAAACCTCAGTATTCAGGTTTAATTTGCAGTGTTGGCACTTTGTGATAAGTAAGTGGGCTTTGGGTTGCAAATTGGGCCCTCATCTCTAAAAGGTTCACCATCGCTGGTCTAGGGAAGAACCTTGCCATAAGAAAAGGGGCATGGCTTGAGACTAAACCATACGACACTCAGTCTCAGCTCTAGCAGTTAGCAGTTTGGGCAAGAGATTCTGCTCTCCTACTCTTAGTCTGTTCATCTAAAACAGTACGGCAAACCTATGGCACCATGCTGCAGCAGTTTGTTTGTTATAACTAAAAGGTTCACCATCACTGATCTAAAACATAAAGTGGTGCCAACTCCTCTATATTTGAAGGATAGAAGAGATTTGCTAGCACAGCACCCAAGACAATAAGCACCCAGGCATGTTTCATTAAGTGGTTCCTTTGAGGCCACAGCTGAAGGCCCTGTCAGTCTTCAGGAGAAACTATGAGTGGTTATGCTTGGCTACAAAAGCAGGTAGAAGGGTGGTGAAGGAACAAGAGCAGATAGGGAATAAAATTCAAAACCAAAATCAGCTCAGTTCAGCACCTGTACCCCCTAAGCAGAGTATCTGAGCTTAAGCCACGTACGTGGTTGATGCTCATAGACTCAGGTGCACAAACTTGTCAGATGGAGCATATGAGTGTGTTGCCAGGTTCCTACCATTAGCCTGCTATTGTGCATTCAACTTTATATTGATTCATTCATCCCGAGCAGCACCACAGAGCAAAAGCACGGGCTCCATTTACTATGCTAATTTATACACTTTTCTTAACTTGCCGTTTGTGCCTAGGTTAAATGGCTGCCACCTACCTCCCCAGCTAGTTGTGGGGGTTGAGTTGATCAGCACAAAGCGCTCAGAAAAGTGCTAGCACATAGCAGGCACTGCATCAGCATTAGCTGTTATGATCAGTACAAGCCTACTGCATACCAGACAATGTGAGCGCTGGCTAGCAAGTCATGCATCCTCCCTGCTTCCCCTGACTGTCCGTCTAGCACAGGCAATGGAGCAGAAACTACCAGTCACAAGACACCATGGCAGACGTCCAGTAGAGAAAGGTTGGGGCATTCTAACCTTATAGCAGAACGAGATTTTCCTGGCCAGACCTGGGTGCTGAGGGCAGAATACATTAAGCAGAAAGGACAAAAAGTGATAGTATCTTACCATAGCAGGTGCAAAGAACCAGAAGAATATCCATATGGTGAGACAGATGGAGAAGGGTGATGGAAAAGGTCAGAGAGGCCAGCAGGACTCAGGCCATCCAAACAATGGCAAAGGGAAGCAATGCTCCCAAAAAAGCAGAGAACACTCAGGCCCAGGAGCTCAGCTTCTTATTGTGGCTTGCCCTCTGTATCTCAACATGTCCCATAATGAAGGAGAGCAGGATTCGCTCTGATGAACTTTTCACACAGAGCACTCTGAGCATTCCCAGGAAGTCCAGTAGCCCCACAGAGAAAGCTCCCTGGGAATCTGCAGAGTAGAGAGCAGGGAAAAGAGTCTTCCATCCATGGACAGCCACGTGGGATCCAGCCACAGCCTCTCCCACCACAGCTAAGAGCGTAGGGATGACCTGGATACAAATGCCTAGGAATTAAGAAGTTATGAGAGGAGCACTTGGGAGTAAAGGCTCCCCAGTCACCAAGATCAGGGTAAGGAAATGCTGCGGCTTGGTTTGTTTCCTAACCTATAATGCGTACAGAAGGAAATACATTTTAAGAATATGAAAGTATCATAAAAGCATTTTCCCCAACAACACAAAATAAAATTGTTTTCTTGTTTTTATGTTGCATCCTTCCTTTGTCAGCCACATCCAGCTGAACTCTACACAAAGTGGCTTCTTTTATCTGTCTTTCAACTTCATTCCAGCTGGTTACATCCCTGGAGCCCAGCTTTCATCTGTAGGAGGAAGTCCTTGGACACAAAGCTGTCTTCCCAACCCAAACTCAGAAAGCACCACTGAACTGGGAATACGATAGGGAGAGAGCAACCCTTGCACAACACAGCCCCCAGGCAAAGTGGAGACCAAATTCAGATGTGAGGTGCTCAGCTTGACTTCCGTTGTCTGTAGCCAACATCACAAGTGTGGGCACAAAGACTTGTAGCACTCAGCAGAGCTTTTGAAGACCAGGTCCCATTGCAAATCATATTTAATGGCATTTCAAGCTAAAGGAATTAGATTTTTAAGAAGTACTCTAAACTTTCTCAGGGGTCTAGGGTTGTGAGCCGGGGTGAGGGCTTACATGGAGGTCAAAAAAGTAGCTGGACCTCAAGAAGAATTTTAAGGAAGCAAATACATTCATATGTGAGAGCTGCATCATCAAGGTCCTTACAGCTTCTCCAACAACTCATGCCTGAGATCCTTGCCCACCCGTGTCTCCCTCTCCTGTGTTCCATTTGCTTCCCAGCCCTCCATCCTACCTCCATGTCTGATGTCCCATCTATATTAGTGAATATGTTCTAAGACATTGGCCCCTCACCACCACCCCCAGTTTTTTAAATACCTGTATCCTTGACTCTGGTGTTTGGGGGATTATTCCTACTCAGTGGATTAGCAAAGCTGACCAGGATTCTGGAGAAGACAGTCTCAGGCATAGATGAATAAGAAGCTCTTCTGTGTGCCTGTTTGTAGGCCAGGGGCTAGAGGACTTTGAGTGTTCTGCGGTAACCTCAGAGACAGCCCATCAGCAGCAGCGAAGACTCTCAGCATGGTTTTGAAACACCACAGGAGGAGGAAGGCTCTTTCATCAAATAATAACCAGCTGGAGATAAGGCCTGCTAGGCTGAGCCTGGTTAGCCAATCACATGCTTCCTTCCAACTGTGAGGCCAGGCAGGCAGGGCTTCTGGAGTGAGTTCCAGGGCTTGTTACAATTTAATGATGCAGTGGGTGGTGTCTTCTTGGCACTGGCTGATGGGGATTTTCTAACTGGGAGTGAAGCCTGGGCTCAGTAACCTCATTCTCAGAGAGGCGTCTGCCCCGGGGCTGCAGCAGAGCATCCTGAGTGGTCACGGGTGGCTGCAGGCTCCCTGCCTGCCTTCCTCTAAATTGGCCAAGACAGTTCTCGGTGCTGCTGGGAAGCAAAGCTTTGGTGCAGCTACCTGGTGCTGGAGTCACCAGGAAGTGAGCCTGTTTCACACCAGAAGTGCAGCTGGGAGTGTGATTCTGAAGAGGCCGTGGAAGCCCCACTGGCTCTCACCTGGTGGAAATGTGTTCCATGCTATTTCTTATTTGTAGTCATGACTGTAGTAACTTTGGGCTTCTCTATCCCTGTAGGCTTTCCATCCAGCCTTCCTTTCTGAAGTTGTCATTCCTCTTTTAGGCTAGAAGAGGTATTGTAAATTGGTGGATAATGGCCCTGCATCTTGCAGCCCTGTGACCTGGCTAAGTTGCTCGAAGGGTAAATGCAGAAGAACTGCCCCAGCTTCTTAGCAGGCTCATACAGGCCCTGAGAAAATGTCAGTAAACCCTTACATGGTCTCACTGCATTAGAATTCAATATTTAAAGAAATTGAAGGGGATATCTTCTGTCATGGGAAGTACAATTCCCTCCACAACTTCTATATTACAGAATATGTTCTAGAGGCTTTATAGTGAGCCGAACTTGCTGTGGCTACCTGCCCTCATGAAAGGTACCATAGTATGGTAAAGGGAAGTTAATTAAAGAGGTCTTTGGTACAATGGAACCAACTGCAGGGACAGGGAGGGGGCTTGTCCTGAAGGGAGTGAGCCTGTCCAAGGAGAACAGAAAAAGTTCCACAGCAGTAGACAGGCAGTGGACCAAGTCAGAGCCCATCACTGTCCCAGGGGACACTCTCCAGGAGAATCAAAGTTATGGCTCCATCTTAAAAATTATAATAGCCCCATTGAGATATAAGTCACATACTATAAAATGTAACGATTTCTGGTATATTTACAGAGTTGCACAACTATTATCAGGACCAGGCTGGGGATATAGCTCAGTGGCATAAACACCTGCCTGGCAAGTGCAAGGTCGTGAGTTCGATCCCTGGTACCACAAAAAAAAAAAAAAAAAAAGACAGCCCACCCAGGGATACCACTCGCTGTTTTGGGCTGGGAATTTAGCTCAGCAGCATAGCACCTGCCTGGCAAGAACAAGGTCATGAGTTCAATTCCCGGTACCGGAAAAAAAACAAACAAAAAAAGGACCAATGTTAGAGTACTTCTAAAAAAAAATTACGAAAAGTATTCTCCCCACCCACCCCCAGAAAACCCTTGTCCAGCCCCAAGCAATCACCCATCTACTTTGTGTCTCTATGAATTTAACTATTCTGGACATTTAATGTTAATGGGATTACAAATATGTTACCTTTGTGACTGGCTTCTTTCACTTAGCATAATGTTCTTCTCAAGGTTCATGTCTTGCCTTTTTACTGATGAATAATATTCCATTGTATGAAGGCACCACAACTGGCTTATCCATTCACCCACTGATGAATATTTGAGTAAGTTAGACTTTTTTTGCTACTGTGAATAATGACACTAGGGACATTCATGTACAAATCTCTCTTCCCTTTGCCCCACAAATCCGCAAACCCAGAGCAGGGAAACAAGAAAGAAATGAAACAAGTGAGAAAATTCACCACCGCAGGGTTTCCCTCCAGCTAGGATTTCTAGTATCAAGGTACAGTAATAGCTGAGCTTGACACTGGCACTAACTTTTACAGTACATAAAGTAGTCACCCATTTAATCCTCCCAGCACCACACAAAATGAAGACATTCTTTTTATTGCCATTTCAAAGAGAAGGTCATGGAAATTCAGCAAGTTTGAGTAATTTGCCAAAAGCTATCTGGCCAAAATTGAAGCCAGAAGAAAACCCTATGAGAGAGGGAAGAAGGGAGGGAAGCAAGGGGAAGGGAAGAAGAGAAGGAAGGAGGGAAAATTAGATCAACAAATAATAGTTATTGTTGGCATTCTGAAGTTTTTACACAAGATATCACAGTGCAGGAGCGGGTGTAAGGCTGAGAAAGATGAAGCATTGCTTTCCTCATGAGTCACAGAACGGGTAAGCCAGCCACTGACGGCACAGAGGCTGCCAGATACTGAGTCCCAGACGCAGCCTCGACCAGCTTGCTGCTTTCCTAGGGCTCACTGAGGGCAGTGCCTCTGCAGATGTCTTGGTTGTTCAAAAGGGAGGAAGGAAAGCTTTGGATGGGGTCACCACTGTTTAGGGTGACCCAGGGGAAGGATCATTCCATACACAGGAAGGGGAGCAGAAGGAGGTCAGGGAACATGAAAGTCTGAAGGTGTAGGGAGAGCAAGATTTTTTTATTTTAAAGATAAAAGAACCAAAACATATTAACAAACACACAGACATAAACAAAACAACCTAAAAATAATAACAGCCAAACAGCAGTGGGCAATGGGGAATGCTCCACTGACAGGTTGGCCAGGTTCCCAGCATAACTTATCCACAGAAAAGTTTCATCCCAACCCTAGAGGTCATTTGATCAACACTCTGAGCAGACGGGGGGAATGGTGTGCAAAAACGTCAAGCAAGGAGAGCAAGTGTGGTGACTGGGAGCTAGAGACTGCTGCTAGGTTCTCATCACCTCTCTGGTCCCAAAGTCCACAGCCCTGGTAAAACCCCACTAGAGAGGGGCCTCCTGAGAACTAGCAGGAGAAAGCTGGGGCTGGGGGAACAAGGTGACTGCATGTGACAAGGAGAGGCCACAGGTCACCTCTGAGATGGAGATTCCAATGAAAAGTGCCTTTCTTCAGGAAGTAGGAGTGACAGAACAGTGAGCAAGGGAATCTGTGTATCAGAGGTTTGGGACCATGAGGCATCTCGGGGCCCTGGGCACTAAGATCTGTTGACCTCATTTGATTGCACTTTTACTTCTGCAAGGCCCTGGCTTGCAGAATTCACTGCACGTGTGTCAAATTGCCATCAGAAAAAGCCAGTTAGAATTTTTTTTCTTTCTTCCTTCCTTTTTTTGTTTTTGTACTGAGAATCAAACTCAGGACCTTGCACTTGCCAGGCAGGCACTTCTGCCTCTGAGCTATATCCCCAGCCCCAAAAAAGTCAGGTAGAAAAGCTCTCTAAGAGTAGGACAAGGTATTTCCATGCCCTGCAGAGGTCTGGGATATGTATGATCCACTCTTGAAGTATCAAAAAGTGCCTTTAAATCTGTTCGCTTTCTGAGTCCCAGGGAGTTGTGGGCATCAGGCTTCAGAACAAGGCCAACACGTGTCAATATGTCAGGCTCAGTGTAGGAAACAATAGCTCTTCTTTTCTACCAGGGTTTAGGTCCTGGACTGACGTCTCTTGACCACATTTTCTGATCACAAAAACTCTATAGGGTAAAAATATCCATACAGAGAAGAATAAAGATCAGAGGTCAATTAGCTTGCTTGAGTTTACATTAATTTAATATGTGGTAGAGCTGGGTTTGAACCAAGGTCCATCTGATGGTAAAATCCGTAACCTTTTCATATCTATTTTATGCTGCCACTCATAGGAGAATTCTTGGATTTATTTTCTTTCTATCTCACAAGTTGTTGCTCATTCCCCTTCTCCTTTAGTGAGTTCTCTAGCACTACCAACTTCATTTGTGTGTGTTAGTATATAACATACCTGTCTCTAGAGTTGTTTGTGCATGTTTGCCTTTAGCCATGTGTGTTCTGTGCCTTCAGATAAAGTTGTGGGTTTAGTTTTAATTCCTTAAGGCTATGTAAAAGCCTGCCCTTAGATGGCCTGTTGCTATTTCTTATTGTGTGTCAGCACATGAGGAACTTGACTCCTGTGACCAGACATTCTGCTATTATAACCATTTTGGAATATCTTGCCTTTAGATGGGTCAGTTGTCCCAGAGAAGAATTTTCATGCAAAATTCCATCAGTGGAGCCTTCAAAAATGGTACCCATCAATGCACATGTCATGGCCAAAAAACCCCACTTTGACTTAGGCTAGATCTGTATTGCTAAGAGCACATCATACACCCATACACACGCATTTGTCAACAGAATATGGACACTACCCAATTTGTCACAAGTTCTAAAGCATCTTAGCACAGGCACTTAATGTAAATGATAAAAATGGGTTAGAGTCCTAGGGACTGAGCCACATGGGGTGTCTACCACCTCCAGCCAAATATTGCAAAGGTAAAATGCAGCCCTAGTGTAGTAAGATCATTTTAACTTCAAGGGAGGCTGGAAATGTGGACTAATTATGAAATCATCATTTTGCTTAAATTTGGCAACTGTTCAAAGAAATTAAATCCCTTTCAAGTCAAAAATCCCACACAGATTTGCAAGATAAGTTCAGCCTGTGGGCTACAGTTTATGTCCTCTAATGTGAACAAAATAGGCATTTGCAGACAGGTGTTTACCAGCTTGCACAGTACAATGGGTTCTGCAGGCACCATGAGAGGCAGCCCTCCTGGGGACCTGTTGGTTTGTCTCTCTTGCTTTCCTACTCTAGACTCACCAGAGCTAGTCACAGGGCTCCTGCACCAAAAGTCTCCAAGCGTTTAATAAACACAAGCTCCCAGGAAATCACCCCACAGAAGCCCTAGAGACAGAAACCTGCATTTCCACAGGAGCCCTCCACACCCCCATGTAATTCAGAAGGACACTAAAATGTGAGAATCATTTTGACTGTAAGACCCGAATTGCCTAGGGTGTTGAAACATTTGAGTGTGTCCTCAGGTTGTTAGAGACCCTCGGACAGTGACTCTGAGCAGGTGACCCAGGCCCTACCTGCACTGGAA